CCCCCCCTCAATAAGTGACCTTAAAGATTTGTCCGAAGACGCTTGGCAATCAGCTAGATTTACTAGATTGTAGCAACACTATTTGTACAATTCGCGAAATCGTGGCATCTCGTCGCGTGGGTTCTAAATTCTCTGTCGAGACTAAATATCACTTTTAGCGTGTTCTCTAGAATACGATTCTAACGATTTCGCATCTGATATGATTCGCGAAATAGGAAAACGGTTTATCTTAAATATGCCATTATCTTTAAGTGTGGGATGCCTGGCATACTGCTAGAAGCACTTGGGTGGTAGTAGTGGAAGTTGATAGTGAAAGCTTTGACACGAGTTACGATGATCAAACAGGTTGCCTTATCTAACCGGATAAAGTGAACGTACACCCCGGCGAATTGATGGGCGTGCGTTGTGCCATCGATCAAATGGAAATGATATAAAATACACCTGTTGTCGCAGGGAGTTGTAAAAATATTTCCCTCCAGAGTGGCCGACTCGGAGAGATATTATGCTAGTCTTGTATTTGACAGATTAACTGCAGTTATTATTTATTTTTTTTGGCTTCAAGTGATGAGCAGTAGTCATCCACTTGTAGCCCCATGACCACGTGCCTGCATTGTTTGGGATTTGGGGTTCTATCGGTATGCCTTTGTAGTGGAGCCGATTTGTCCCTCGCCCAATGGATTATCTCCTCTGAATAGGATGGGCACGCGACGCTCGTTGTCTCCGTTTACACTGTCCGGGTGTAAAAAGCCTTGGCATATCTCTTTAGTGCAAGGCCGGCACGCGCATTTGGTTAATCATCTAACCGTTCAGTAAATATTGGACTCACCGTTAAATAAACTAAGTAACTGGCCAACCAGGTGCCAAGTACCTGCATGAATACGAACGAGGTTGACACAAAAACTGAATAAATCACTGTTAAATCTGCAATCTCTCCCGAAAAGCGTGTCTGATTCAAACCTCGTCCGATCTCCAAGAATTATACACATGTACACTATATATGCAGAAATGTGCTTGCAGGAAAAAGAAAAACTGCGATGCACTGTGTACATACACCGGTTTGGTTATGTACTTATGTCTTATCACTGGTAAACATTGGGACGCGTGTTGTTGAGTCAACAATGATCATACGTACATTTCGTCCATGCTCTGTATGGTAATGATTGAAAAGTCAACCAAGAGATTGGTTCATTAATGTGTGTATAATATCATTACAAATGGGGGAGTTGTATATCAAATTGAAACAACATCAGACTCCCCATTTATAATTAAACAGATTATTAATATAATGTGCGTGTTTTTTTGTATTTGGTTAACTTGGGAGTGCGCTGGTAATTCACACCTTCTATTTAATTATTCAGAATAAGCGTGTCATCGCCCGGCAAGTGTCAATTGTTTTCTTGCAATCTTTGGCTTCTTGTGTTGTTGGGCTGCGCCTGACATTATCACTTTGGCCAGCCCTGCATATCAATAGGCCATGGCTACTTTCCTCCTTGTCGCTTGTTGAATGGAAAGGCGTGGCTTGACTGGCCGGAACCAATGACTAGGGGCCATTACCTGCCATATTTGGTAAACTGTTGACATAGGGACGAAGCCTTACAAAAGCTTGGCAGGTGCGCTGTGTTTCATGGAGCAGCTGACTATACAAAATCGCCTTCATCCGAACAAAGAGGTTCAATGACTATTATAAATTCTCCTTGATGAGGGGCACGCGAGTGAGACAAAAACTTTATTTTTTAAAAGCCCGCGATTTGTGTAAACTCTAGTACCCCATGCCCACACTCCAAGCGATATGATTGCTACAAATGTCATCTACCGGAAAATGCTGATTAAAGAAGAACAAGAAAGGAAACTTGCAGGAAACCTGTAAGACACTAGGCATGGCTGGTTTCAGTGTGTCACGCCGTTGTCTTTCGTGGCGCAGTTGTAAGCCGCGGAGTAGTTTTCTGGTTGTTTACACTGTTTAGCATAGTGTATAGCGAGGATCTGAACAAGCGGCAGATGCAGTCTACATACGAGAAGCCCATTCATAAAGGGTGGTGCAAAACTGGTTAATTAAAAATCGCGCTATGGTCAAAGGGGTTGACTGTAGAAGCGTACCGCCCATTTTTTTTTTTACCAATTGTTCCAGTTGAATCGACTCTTTGTTCGCGCCCAAACAACAGAGATGACAGATTGGGCTATAATGTATGCTAATAATATGCTGTCATGGGTATATATAGAACCCGATTGTGCTGATCTGGTCAGTTATAGCATCTGTGCGTCCAGAGACAAGGTGATCCTCTCGCGCTTCCATGATTTGTTTTAGTGCTGGACACTATCTCGTGTAGACAGGCATACGTTGACTGACGTAGGCCATAGGGAAGACACGTGTACAGACTGTTAAACAGGGGCGGACATTTGAACTTTTTCACTGGATTTTCTTACATGAATAGTAAGCCGAAGTGGATTATCATAACTGTGAAAGAAAAAGTTGGGAGCTTCGCGCCAAGGATTTACCGGCATCGCTCTGCCGTAGTCGTAGTATTGCAGTGACACTGCCACACTCCGTCTGTGCAATTCAGCGGCTGTCATTCAACTTTGGTGGGCGGAGTCCAGGGACAAAGACGATTGCGAGGCTGGAATATCGACAGCAGCGAAGAGAACATATAGCGAACCGCGAACAATAACAACCATGGGTGGCTTGGTTGTGTCGCGGAGTTCAGGCCAATTTTTTGCAGTATGTCTGCTGACAGTTTTAACACAGGTGAGTAGAGAGAGTTGTTTTGCCGATTGTGTATAATTTTGGTCAATATTCCGAAGCTCATTGTCGAACGTTTGTAAAAAAAATATCGTATGTGCTTGCGTGCGTGTGCGTACATAAACTCAGTGTTAGTCTATTGAAGTCAACGTGGTTCTCTCTATTCTCGCATTGCCAGGTTTCGTGTTCGGGTATTTTTCAACTCCGGTTGGCATCATTCTCAAATGACCAAGGAAGGAACGTAAGCGGTCAGTGTTGCAGTGTATCGTCAACATCTTCCGATACTTGTGGATCACCATGCAGGACATTTTTCAGAGTTTGCTTAAAACACTACCAGGCCCACGTATCGACCGATGATGATTGCATTTACGGTGAAGTAGAGACACCAATTTTGGGCAACAATACGTTCGAAATTCCTCTATCGGACATGGAAACGTTTATTAACCCAATTAGGCTGCCTTTCACTTTCCGATGGCCGGTGAGTATCTGTTTTTTTTATGAAAAAGGGGTTACATATTTTAAATCGCGAGAGTACGTACGCGCGTGACATTACGGCTCGGCGTACTAAACTGGCTACATGCACCATTCAACGTTACTACATTATTCTGCATGTTAATATTGATACAAATTTGCATTACGGGGGCAAATATCGTTCACTACACAAGGCTCTAGCCAGGGATAGCAAAATATCTGCTACCCGAACCGTAGCCTCCATTCATTGCCCGTGTGTGCAATATAATTTGTTTAAAAGTATATACAATACTAGTGTCGATGAAAGAATTGAGATATGAAATTTCAACATGTTTTTTTTTTTAATGCATTTCACGTAGCCGCACCCACGCCGTGTACTATATCTCATCGCTGCGTTTTTTTTGCTAGGGATGTATTTTAAAATTAACATCTCAATACCTAGGCACTCCG